CTAAGAAAATCATCAAAATTACTAGAAAGAGTTTTCCTAATAAATTACAAATGTGTCACATTTCTTTATTTTCTCAGTATATTACTTAAGCGACTAAACTATTTGACAAAGTATGAAAAAAAATGAATAGTTACATTTAAATCTTATCCGGTCAATGGGCCGGGCCCTAATTTAGTACAAAACTAATAATATCAACTCTGAATAAATTGACTAAATAGGCATGTTTGGTCACCGAGTTAACCATTTTATTTTACATTTGCCACTATAAAATTTAATTGCATTAGTGGTTACTAACTTTACATTTTCGTCTCACCACTAATCATTCTTCGTCCAACTCCGTTAACTTTGATTTGATGGTTAAATTTGTGGCTTGTAATTTTAAAAAAAATAAACTTTGATTATTTTTAATTTTCCATCATAAAAAGTATAAAATACCCTGAACCCTTAATCAACGATTAACTAAGCAGTTGATGCTTCGGCGGCTTGTGTACGGCGGTGTTTCGTGCCGGCAACCTATTCTCCTTCCTATTCACAGGTGAATAGGCGAGTGCCGATGATTGGAAGTTGGGAGATAAAAGGAACGATCCAACTGAAAATTGGGCGAATCTGAATCTGACCCAGAAAGCTTTATTCAAGAGCTGCGATATGTATCGAAATGGCAATGGAAGATACCGAATTGGGAATTTGAACAAACTTCATAGAGACGGTGGCCTTCTGAAGCTTGCTAGCATCCCAGAGAATAAACAAGAACACCCAATTCCATTGGGGGCAATTGCAATTCGATGTCGTCTAGTAGCCTATGGAATAACAGTGTTGGACAAGGTGGTGGAGACGACGACGAGACGCTCCGCCACGACCAACCCAGTGAGGCCTGACGGTGGGCCAGAAACAAACAAGAACATTTTTTTTATTATTTATTTATGGAACCACAAATCCTAAACTCCAAGCAAAAGCCACTCACAACTTGTATTCTATTTCCGTTTTACTCTAAATAAATATTTTCCTTAGGTCTTTCTCTTTCGGTTCTTGGTAAGAGTTTCCTTATCCTTTAGACTTGCACTTTTTTTTTTCCTGGTCAAATCCGACTTCAAGTTTGGCGAGCAGTCATTCCATCTTCACCAACCCCGTACTGCTTATCTGCGGCAAAATGCATCACTATCCACAAACCTGTATCCAGCACCACCAACAATTAGGTAGCGAGATTTATTTAGTTTAACGGGCTTTTTAGATGCATCAATTGTACAACAAGACAATTTTATCATTTTATAAAATTAGTGATTTGAAACGAATCAATGTTAATTACTTGTCCCATTCTAGATAATTGTAATTGTCTCAAAACGAGTCAATTTGAAATTCTTTAGTCTCAATTGTCTCATCCAAACTTTATGCTGTCAAACGGGTCAATCTGGCCCAATTGTCTCAATACGAAACAATTGTGGCAGATTGATTCATTAGAATTCATCATCCAGACAACTCCCTAAGTACGTCTAATGTTAGAAAAATAATAGCAATACTTTTATTATTGTTTTACAATAATCCATTACGTATTTTCTTATTTTGAAAGTTTTATAAAATACATTTATCATCCAACTATCAAGGTTGTCATTCTCAATGTACCCTATCAAAAAATCATTGATCATTTCATCACTAATTTGATTCAGAACTATGGTTGTCGCGTAATTCATGGCATAAAATGCTTTTTCGTCACTCAGACTGGTGTACTCCTGGAGTATACTATGCTCCATGTAATGATGGTGAGATATATCTACCTAGACCATGAATTAAACTAAATTTATGGTATGATATTGTACCCTAACTTTGAATGGATAAACCCTAGGCCCCGATTTTCTAAACTCAAACTCGAAGTTCAATTTAATAGAAAACAAAATTGACCGATTAGATTTGTCGGAGCTCATCGAAGTACATCTAACCGACAGACCACCTGGAATATACTATATTTCTTGAGTTAATTAGCCTTTACCCCATATATATATATATGGTTTAGGCTAGCATACACCATTGTACTCTATATGTATGTGTTCACACTACTGTATGTCCGTCGAGATCTACTATTTACACCATGAATTAACTAGAGTTTGGGGCATACTATAACCTAACCTCTAATGGATGAACTCAACTCTGTAATTCTCTAACCCGAAGCATACAATTCATTTAATCTAAGAAAATAATAACTAGATTTTTTATAAATATATCTAAGTACATTTCACAAGCGTGAACGCAGGCGTATAGCTTACGTTAGCCGCACCAATTCATGGTCTAAATAACAAAACTCAACGAACGTATGGTAAGGTAAGGTAATTCGTGAATATTATTGTTTGGGTTAGAGAATGGGTGCACTAACTCTTTAGGGTGCATTTAATACACTCACCTTATAATCCTTAATATAAGTAGGCGATTCACGTAAAAACAATGTCAATCGTCACTTGTGATATGATGTACAAGAAACACATGAATTTATACAAAATTTTTTGAAAATTTACTTTTATTTAAAGATTTTAGAATTTAGGGTTAGGGTTAGTGTCCAAAATTGAAGGTTTAGGGGTTGGATAATGGATTGGTTAGTTGTAATCATATGTATGTCATCATATCATACTAAAGCTACCAATAAATGCTTAATTAGAATGCTACTTTTAGAGTTGAGTGCATTGTATGCACTTATTTTTGTGAGTGCAACAAAAATTGGATATCTTTGAACTGCAAGCGTATAACATACATGTACGCTAACCCTTTATTAAAAAAAAAAAAAAATTGTACGTAACCTTTGTTATATACATTAATTGATTCTCTTTTTATTAGTACTCTTATTAAGTTAATATGACTCCACGAGAATAATGAGACAGCATGTATGGATATATTATAATTTTCTCTATATATATATTAACTTTGCCATATATATTAATTGATTCTCTTTCTCTCTATATATATTATGGTATCTTATTATTCTTGTGGAGTCATATATTCCTTTTTTTATATCTTTCTTGTGGAGTCATATATTAACTTAATTGATTGACAAAAAGAAAGAGAATACATTCATAAAATTCAGGCATTATTCATGATCGGGTTTTTTGTTTAGTGCACTAGAAAAGCACACCCTTAGTATATTAGATTTGTCTGCCTCGGGTTCCAATACATAGCATTTGGTAGCAAAGAATATTAGGTTCGTCGGGCAAATAGTCTGATTTATTTTAGTATTTTCCTTCATAATATGCTTTCTTATTTTATGGTTAGTAACTTAAAATGGTCTGGATTTTGTACTTAATCTTTTATAAATATCTATCCTACCATAAATTAACACCCACAAAGATTAATTTTGCCCAATTCAAGGGCTCAAGATAGAGTGAATAACCTTAGGGTGAGTAACAATGAGTAACCAAATCTGAACCCTTCTTTTAAGTGGCTGCAAATCTAAGGGTGGAGAATTAAAGGAATTTATTTTCTCTAGTTTTCTTAATTGGATCATATCTTCTTCATTCTAACTCGGATTTCAATTTTTTTTGCACAGGTGGAACGAGTTCGTTGTGCTCTACAAAATGATATCCATTTTCAATATTTTTTGAGAAAATCCGAGTCATCGTGCTCTACCCCATGCATAACCCAATAAGAATCTGCCACATCATATGGAACGAGTTCGTTGTGCTCTACAAAATGCATGGGGTTACTCACCACAAGGGGGCTCAAGATAGGGTGCATAACCAAATTTGGACCCTACATTTAGAAAATCCAGGTCTAAGGATGGAGAATTAAATGTCATTTTTATTTTCCCTAGCTTTCTTAATCAGCTCATATCTTCTTCGTTTTAACTCGGATTTTTTTTTTGTTCAGATGGAACGAGTTCATCATGCTCTACAAAATGAGATATATTTTCAATATTTTTTGAGAAAAAAATTCTTGCCTCTCGGTACCAACTTCATACCATATGGTATTATCTTCGTTTTTAATTCGTTTTTGAAAACGTTTGCACAAAAGGGATGAGTTCATCATGATCTATTGGATCTACAAATTTCTGGGTGAACACATTACAGGACTAAAAAATACCACACAATACCACCCTGGTACGGGGTAGTAGCTTATGGTATACAATGTTAAAAGTCGTAAATGACAGTTAATATACTTCTACTATCATGTATTCAACTATTCTACAGTCTTGGTTTGTTCATACCACCATGGTACACTTTCAAACCATAGGTATGCTCTTATTTCAATACTAGTCAATACCATATGGTATAGACTGGTAAAGAATGACTCAATTTTTTTTGTTCGAAAAATATATCAAAGTGGATATCATTTTGAGGAGCATAGTTAATCTGATGTAACTGTGCAAAAAAATTAAATTTCGACTTAAAACGAGTGAGAAATCGTCCATCAAAAATTAAGGAGGGGGAAATTAAAGACTTTCCAGGAGAGGGAGGGAAGCTGATGTCATGCTGATGTGTACGGGTTACTCATGATTACTCACCATAAGGTTACTGACCTCATCCGGTCCCTCCCGTGGTTGCTATGTTAAGGTAGGAGTAAAAATCAACTCCCTTTCCCCCAATTCCATTAGCCATTCACAATACCTCTTATGTCAATCCTGTAACGGATAAAATCCTCTCACAACACAATCATCACTAGGGCTGGTAATTTTTCGGTTACCGGTTAATTGATAACCGAATAACCGGTTATCGGTATACCGCCAACCACCCAAGTGACTACCGACAACCGGTACCGGGTTCCAATCGGTATAACCGGTTACTGTTTAACAGGCTCCCAGTTAACAATCCGGTTACCGAATAACCAGCAAGCAGCAAAACTAGAACGTCGGGTCGCCTCCTCTGACCTCTCGAACTCTCTATCTTAGATGAAGTATACCCGCAGCAAGTATATTTTTGTCCCGCCGAGTGTCCTAAGCCACTTGTGCATTACATGAGGCGTGGATCGATCGAGATAGTACTTAAATGCCTTGGAGAAATCGTTCTTGAGCTTTTCTAGTGGAGCCAATGCTTCGAGAAAGACGACAACAAGAGAGTGGTGGGAGCAGGAGACATCACAAATACAAATCCAACGAACACATCGCGCTTCCTCCGAAGTCCAGGTGGCGGTTCGCGTCGGTGATTCTGATCTGCATCGGCACCGCCTCGGGACACAGTCTAATCCTCTCGGCGCCGTTCACCACCACCAAAACCACCGGAGAAGAACTAGTTTCTCCCACTCCCAAGATGGGTGAAACTTGGAAACCAAAAACCACAATCCCAATCATCGAGAAGGCCAAGGTGACCCAGTGTCCTCTTTCCTAGATGCGACCGGTTCAGAATCGTCGCGTGCCACTGTGCTGCTCGCATGCAACGGCGGAGGAGATTTCATCGAGCGCCGGCCTTCGGTGGTGCGAGTACCTCTCTCTGGATTGGTATTTGGTGCGGACGTGTTGTGTTTGAGTCTGTCTTCCCAAGTTAGGGATTCATTCAACAAAGAGAAAGGCAAGCAGGGCGCAGGGGAAGGGGATTACAAAATTGAGAAAGAAAAGGCAGGCAGGCGTAGTCTTGTGACTGGGAGGGAGGAGGAAATCCAGTATCGGCTAATATGGTAACCACCGGTTACTAACCGGCACGTACACTGTATACCGTTTCCATTATAATTCTCACCGAATACCGGTATCGGCCGATTACCGGTTTACCAAATACCACCGGTTACCAGTTCGGTAAACGGTTAACCCGATAACCGGATTACCGATTACCACCCCTAATCATCACTACAGGACCCACTGACCATGCCTTCGGCGAGGTGATTGTTCAATTTTCTTCCCCATCCCTACCATGCCTTTTGCCCGCGCCACCTGCTGTAGTAAACAAGTGATAAATCCTAGGAATCCTAGGGTCGTAGTATTCTATGAGTTATTTTGATGGTAATTAATTACTCAGACCTAACCAACTTGTATTTGAATGAGGATGCTAAGAAAAGTAAAGATGATAGGTTCATGTGTCCTTTAGTCAAGATCCTAATCTACTAATGCAAGAAAGAACAAACAATGCAAAGCAAGAAAGTAATCAATTTAAAGGATTGTTTAGGTATTGATATCTAGATGATCATGCATATTAACTCAACAATGAAATTCTTCTATGTATCATCTATTATGATGCCTTATCCCTTCCACTAAGGTCATCCTACTCGAGTTTTTGTCACATGCAATAGGAATTTGACTAGCTAATGAGTGTTTTCGTTTAATGCAATCAACTAATAAATGAAGAACAAGGAAGATAGGATAGCATATGGTTAAGTGTGGGCCTCTTGAGCCATAACTCATAGTCTATACCATTAATTATCTAACAATCAAGCATTGATCCTATATGATGCATGGATGGGTAGCTACACCTCCCACACACGCATAGGGCAATGGGATATCACAAGAGGGTAATTTCTTAACAATCTCAGTGAAATTAAGCACAATGACTATAGTAGCATAAAATACAATCTCGGTGAAATTAATCGAAGTACCAACAATGTCAGAGTAGTAGGTTAATACTTCATAATTGTTGCAGACTATCATGGCACAATTGAATGTGACCTTCCAAAGTCAATTTGATCAGATGAACAAGTAGTTGGATGCTATTTCACCGCTAGTAGCAGGACTCCATTCTATTCCTGAGGAGAATCGACAGCATGGCGTTCCGACTGGAACCGACCAATCCCTAGATGCGAGGATTCACAACTTGGAGCAGAGGTTGATCACAATAGAGCCCGATCGAGCGCGTCAAGAACACAATTATAGTGATTACGATGGAAGACCATCAAAGGCGAGACACAAAGGTACCATTGCTGAAATACGAGGAATCAAGCTTTCAGTTCCTTCGTTTCAAGGATCTCTCAATGCTTCTGCATACCTGGGTACTATAAAAAACAACTCTTTGATTTTTTTTTGCAGGGAATTCGACAAGGAACACGGTCTGTTGAAGAATATATACGGGAGCTTGAACTGCTCTTGATGGGGGCAGATGTGAGGGAAGATAAGGTAGCTACAATTTTGCGCTTCCTACATGGCCTCAATAGAGAGATTAGGCATGAAGTTGAGCTATATGCTTGAGAATTTTCTGCTTTGTATCAATCAAGTTTTCCCCTTGATTGTGGTCAAACTTCTACCGTATATTGATAGAGCCTTCTCCTATCTTGTGTTGAGATTGCACTTTTAATTCCATCCTACCCCAAACAAAAAACAAAAACCCGAAAAATCTCTCTTCGTGCTCGTTCTTGAAGATGCGATACTTTGATAACTACGAATGTCGGTTTCGTGCTCCTAACAGCGGAGGTTCCTCATATGAATGAATCTTTGTTCCGATCTGATTTGATGGATGAATTGGACTAGGAAATCCTCGAGAAGTTAAGTTGGAGACTTGGAGTTCGCGCGACGAGGGAAGGGTTTCGAAGAAGGGAGAGTGCGATAATGAATGACTTCCTTTATGCCCTTTTAATTAATTTTTTATTTAAATTATAATAATTTGAAATTAAAAAAAATATGTGAAATTTTTTATAACACTCCATATCACCAAAATTATTAAGATAATGAGTACGATCCCCATTATGTGGATGTTTTGCCTCTGACGGAAACAAGATCTCCGTCCATGCTCCCCATTGTGAGGGTAGTCATGCTAGGATATGTTATATATGTATGTATTACATGTTTCACTGTGGGGATGCGCTAGCTAAGTGGAGGGCAGGGCCACATTGCAAGATAAAATACATAAAATATGCACTTACAGTATAAGAAATCATAAAAAAGTAATAGTAGAGAACCTCTTTCGAATAAACTAGGACTAGGACTGATCCCACGCCTGCACTTAGAAATTGTAGAAGCGCTAGAAGTACACTCAGTGATTCCGCTGTTTGTAACAGGGAGAAATGACTCTAGAGGACTCTCGAAGAACGATGTTTAACTTGAAAACTCAACTTAATTAGGACGAAGGACTTGATGCAATTTTATGAAATACGTTAATTAATATAAGTATTTCAAGATTGTTCATGTTTTCAGTATGATTTTTTTATTTAACAATAAATTTTTACCAATGATATATTTAGATAAAACTAGTACCTGACAGGACAGGCGGCTACAGTACTTGTATGAGGACAGGCGGCTACAGTCTACAACAGTACTTCTGTACTTGTAAGTTGTATGCAAACACCACAAATTTTGCCGAGAAAAAAAAATTCCATGAGAAACTGAAAATTAAAAGAGCAGACATCGTTTCACTGAGAAAGGGTTAATGACAGAAATATTGTTTTTTTTTTAAATTTATCACGAATAAGGCCAGTTAAAAACTATTGACAAAGATATTGTGCTTTAGGGATAAGAATCGGCGGGGACACCAGAGACTCAGGCGCTGCCGCTTCAGCTTGGTTTTTGGACCGTTTTATTTAGTTGGCAGCGGCGGCGCTCAAGACTCAGGCGGTGGCGCCCGAGACTGAAGCGAGTAGGTGGGAAATCAAGACTCAGGCGGTGGCGCCCGAGACTAAGGCGAGTAGGTGGATTGGCCACCCACCCTATAAAACCCAGACTATTTCGTTTCAGATTCACACCACAAAAAAAATCGTCCAAAATAGAGGAGAGAGCTCTGGTTGCTGCTGCAAAAATGGCTAATAGGTAAGAGACACATTTATTTTTGTAATTATATTATTCAAATGCTATTATGATTGTGTTTAGTTTTTAATTAGTGAGTTTGTTTTTTTGTAGTGATTTTAGAAGATTTGAACTAGTTGTTCGGTGGAAATCGGAGAAAGTAGAGGATAATTTGGGCGTCAAATTCGTTGGTGGTAGTAGTTTTCAGTTGACGGTTCCATCCAGAGTCACATATCACAAACTTTGTGAGACTCTAATTCCAAGAATACGGCGCAGAGACGAAGCAGTAAAAGATAGTGATGTGATCACAGGTTTCACTTACCGTCTTCCAGAATGGCAGAATGATGTTTTATTTCATTATGCGTTACCTATTGTGGATGATGATAGCTTGGATGTGCTTTGGAATTTTATGGCACAAAATCCTTATTGTTTGGGTGCTGAGATACATGTTGAGCTCAGTGAGGATCAGGGTGGAGAGGAAGAAGATGATACATGGAGCGTGCCATCCGATCATGACTATGATCACGGTGATGACGGAGAGGAGGAAGATGAGGAGGAGGAGGAGGAGGAGGAGGAAGAAGAGCAGCTTAATTATCCTCCATATTTTTACTTGCAGGGTAATGAAGAGGACGAAGAATTTGCACTTGCTGATTCATATGGCGTAATTCCAATGCCTATTGTTGATAGTTTTGAAGGAGAATTCTACAAGGGGCAGATATTTCACTCGAAACAAGCTGCACAGATGGCGATTAAACACTACGCACTACAACGCAACTTTCAATATGGCGTGGTGGAGTCGTCACCTTCAATATGGAAGGTCAGATGCTTGAGGCACAAGGATGACAATTGTCCTTGGATGTTGCGGTTTGGATGTCGAGATGTTGGGGGCGAATGGACTGTGAGAAAAGCTGAGTTGGTGCATTCTTGTAGCAGTACGACTCAACCGACGGATCATCGCCATGGCCCACGAGTAGCCTGGCGAAGAAAAAACCTAACCTCAGCCTCAGAATGTGGCTGATGAGGCTCATGCTGCCTCATGCCAAACTGACGGAGCACGCGGTCTGGATGATGCCACATCACCGATGAAAAGCAGATAAGTGGCACTACTGCTCGAAATGTCTCAGACTGTAGCACACTACCTCTGAGATGAAGTGCTCTCTCAAAGTAAGGTTGCCACTACATTAAATCCAAAAATTAACGTTATTATCCCTAAATCTAAAAAAATAAAACAAATGAAAACTATTCTATAAAATGAAATGTTATATACTAACCACCACGGTGTCCATCGCGTCAAACCACAGCTTGTACTGGAATAGCTGGTCACCATACTGACGACTGTTGGCCGAAAGCCATCGAAGACCACGTGGGAATGCATCCTCGGTGGCCTGTGCCCTCGTCTCCTCGTCTCGAGGTGCCAGATGTGGGAATCGCTCCCACGCCCAAAACTGCAGTAGGGCGACCCATCCACCAAGGTCACCGCTAAGAGAAGTGCCGGTATGCGTAATGTGCAAAGTCGACCTACCCATCTCACGGTACAGGTAGGATAAAACAGCAGCTCCCCAGGCAAACCTTCCAGCTCTCTCCCAATCCTCAATCAGAAGTAGGTACTGTAGGTGCACCGTACTTCCAGACCGATCCGAGAAAAGTACACCTCCAAGCAGAGATAGAGCATAAGCTCGTGCAAACTGCTCTATAACCTCCTGTGATGCATTCTCCGGCAGATGACTGAATTCAACCCTCAGCCAAACAATCCTAACAACAGCGACACTGCCTACAAGATCGGCCGGAACTCGTCCCAACAGTCTCAAACAGATCGCCGACCACTCCTCATCCGGTATATCAACTATGACGGCATCACCGTCGATCGCCAGACCGGACAGTGTAACAACGTCCTCTAACGTGATCGTCATCTCACCACACGGTAGATGGAAGGTCGACGTCTCGGGGCGCCACCGCTCTACGAGCGCAGTAATCAAACTAGCATCGGGGTTCATAGGGACTAGGGGCACGACACTTAACAAGCCTGCCGCTTCGAGATATGGCCGATAAAGCTCATGGTAAGGTACTAAAATGGTCGTACCTCGAACATGGTACGATCGATCACCAGCCTATAGTGCAGAAAACTTATATTAATTCATTTTCGTTCGTAATAATTCTAATTTCACCTAATAAATTCTAATTTGTCTTATCTAACATAAAATTATACTAATTTCACCTAACAGTTCAGTTCACTACCTAAAATAATCTAATTAGCTAATTAACTTTACATGAATAATTATCAAATACTTACCTCGTTTGTCCAAACAGAGTCGATACGATGTTGGCCATGTCCCCAAAGAAGTGTCGGATCGACCTGACTTGGATCAATTGTCGTCGGCGGTAATCTCATCGAATAAGGATCCATAAGCCTCGGAACTGCAAAAACAAAGCAACAAAACATTAAAAAAAACACAAAACATTAAAAAAAAAATCAAACTGCCGATGAGAGTCTCACCGCGCAAACGGCCGCCGACTCCACCACGACCTCGCCGACCTCTCCCTCTGCCTCTGCCGGCGGCGAGTGGTTCTTCGTCGGAGGACATCTCGGGCGGCGGCGATTCAGTCAAAGGCGGTGGCGCTTCTGTCAAAGGCGGCGGCGCCGAGGTCTGGGACGGCGGCGCTCGTGTCTGCGGCGGGGGCGCTGAGGTCTGGGGCGGCGGCGCCGAGGTCTGGGACGGCGGCGCTCGTGTCTGCGGCGGCGGCGCTGAGGTCTGGGGCGGCGGCGCCGAGGTCTGGGCGGCGACGCCGAGGTCTGGGGCGGCGGGAGGCAGTGGGTCTCTGGTTCGCAGGGTTGGGGGCAGGAAGAAGAAAGGAGGAGGAGGATGTGTGTGGTGTGGGAGGGGATAAGATGACCGTCCGAATTTAAAAAAAAAAAGGGTCCGGGGCGCTCCCGCCTGAGTCTCGGGCGCCAGCGCCTAGGACTAATTAAAAAAATTTGTCTGAGGCGGGGCCGCTTGAGACTGGGGCGCCAGCGCCCAGGACTGAGTAAAATATCAGTCCCGCCTGAGTCTCAGGTGGTCCCGCCCCAATCCTTACTAAAAAACACAATATTTGTGTCAATAATGTTTAATTTGTAATATTAGTGGTAAATTAAAAAAAAAAACAATATTTGTGTCATTAATCCACTGAGAAATGGGTATTGGAATGGTAACTCTTTTTCTTCTTCAATCTGTCGCTGACTCTCTGTCTCTCTCTTCTGTTTATGGTTTCGGTGAGCGGTCTTTGTTCAAAAATCAAAATGCTTAATTTCTAAATAATTTTGTATTTTCTCAGGATTTCTAATATAATTATCTCCTCTTTGTGTTGAATTTTTCAACCTTGCTTGCCAGCCCCCGTTCCGTCCACTTTCCTAACAAGCCCACCTTCGCCATTGCTCACTCCGCCTGGCGACTCACTCCACCCTGTCCTGTCTTTCCCTATAAATAATCCCAAACCTCACCCAAATTCCACTCAGAACTCACTCAAACCGATAAGTCATTCAAAAAAGAAAAACAAGAGGAGAAGCAATTATCTGCCGGCCAGTCAGCAGCAATGGCAATTCAAAGAAACGTGGATTCAGAAGAAGCTCCCATCCACGGCGACATCCTGGACACAATCCTCACCCACGTCCCGCTCATCCACCTGCTGCCGGCTTCCCAAGTTTCCCGGTCGTGGAACGGCGCCGTCTCGACCTCCCTCCGTGGGTTCAACAAGCCCAAGCCCTGGCTCATCCTCCACACCCAGAACACCCGCTCCCCTTACCCGACCACGGCCCACGCCTTCGACCCGCGCTCCCGGGTCTGGGTCCAGATCCACAAACCCGAAATCAACTACGTCTCCGCCCTCCGCTCCGCCCACTCCTCCCTCCTCTACATGCTCTCCCCAGCCAAATTCTCCTTCTCCTTCGACCCGCTCCACCACACCTGGGACCACGTCGACGCCCCCATCATGTGGCGGACCGACCCGATTGTCGGGAAGGTCGGCAAATGGGTCGTCATCGCGGGCGGAACCTGCGACTTCGAGGACGACCCGCTCGCCGTTGAGATGTACGACGTCGAGTCCCGCACCTGGCGCACCTGCGAGTCCATGCCGGCCATCTTCAAGGACTCCGCCGCCTCCACGTGGCTCACCATCGCGGTCGGGTCGGATAGGATGTATGTGGCGGAGAGGAGCACGGGGGTCGGGTACACTTTCGACCCGGATACCGCGGTCTGGAGCGGGCCCTACGACGTGCGTCCAGGGGGAGGCGGCGGGGGACTCTGCGCCTCCTCCGCGCTGGGGATCGTCAACGGCCGTCTGGTCCTGGTGGGGCTAATCGGAGATGGGGCGAATCAGAAGGTCAAGGGTTTGAAATTGTGGGAATTGGACGGGGAGACGATGGAGTGCGGCCGGGAGATCGGGGAGCTCCCGGCCGAGTTCTTGAAGGAATTGGAGCCCGATTTCGCCGGGCTTTCGTCGGTGAACGTGAATTTCAAGGGGGATTTCTTGTTCGTGACGAACAATTCGGCGCCGGAGCGGGTGATCGTCGGCGAATTCGACGACGGCGGGAGGTGCGGCTGGAGCAGCGTGCGGAACTCGGTGGTGAACGACGATGTTCGGCTTTCCAGTACGGTGGTGTACACGTGTGCCGACGTCGGGTTGGGGGATTTGCAGCGGGCGACGGTGTCGGCGGGTTGGAGATTCTCCCTCAAAGACGGCGCGTGACTGTCAGATTTTAATGAAACTTTTCCTTTTTTTTTTCTTTCTTTCTACACAATGAATTCATAAATATTGGTTTTAATGTCACCACAAATTTCATTGTAATTACGGTGTGAAAGAGGAGAGTTTAATTTGAACTTTTTCGATCGTATTTTATTTAATTGACGCAATATTTTTTTCCATAGTAATGCATATTCTCGGAGTTCGACGCCAGTGTATGAAACGCTAGGTTCGGCATGACACAAATGGCAGTTTGACAAACTTATAGTTAAAATGTAGCTACTGGCTAGTACCCAGAATTGAGCCTCGGATTTCAATAACTGCTGTTTGGGTGGCCAACTGTGATGCTCAATAGTTAGACGGTTGGTATTTAGAAAAAAACATTGACTTGACCGTATTTAAAGTTTTTTTTTGTTGTTGTCGAGGATTGGTGGTAATAGAGTTAATAATTGTTGCAAAAAAATATTGTGGGGTGTTGACCTGTATTGTTTTTCTTTTATAGATAAAGGTAAATAAGTAGTCAAAGAATAGTAAGCAATCAAACGCAACAATCGACAGATAGTCGAACTAATGACATTATTAACCACTAAAAGGGTAGCCCCGTTAAACCTGCGATGAGTAAATGTGCACAAGAAACGAAGATAGGAAGACACCGCAAAATCGATCTCCTATAGAATCGCACCACCCGAGCCTTGTTATACATCCTTCACCCAAACGCGGCGCACCAAGGTTTGACAGTCGCCGCAAAAGTTCACAAAAAAATAACGATGTAACTACACACCAATTAATTGCATCACGCAAGTTCAATTAAGAAGGGATCACTAATACCTGAACAATACTTTCCAACAACGAACAAAAGATTGCCACCAGTAGTGAACCTAGCGAAATCAATGCCGCTACTAGTGCCTCGTTGCCAAGCGTCATCAAAGCGAAAAATAAACCACTCATAGGACATGAACCATCATGGACTTGTCGAGAGAGAGAATATGTAGTCTCAGCAGAACGCTCGGACCGAAGAGAATTCCCCATGTGCAAACCCATTGGGGTAGCAGTCGCACACCATTTGTCAGCTTGAGCCTGGAACTGCTGAGGCAAGGTAGGTCCTCGATATTGAAAGTGCTTATGAACCGCCCAACAATGGAATTTCTATGAACACCAACAAAGGAAAATAATATTATGAATAGCTTCTTTGGATAAATGACAATCAAAGAACAAAGCATGCCAACAGTCAACATGAACAAGTGAGGAGAGCATAACCCTTAACATTCAATAACCAGGCAAACCCCCATAACTCTATAGCTAGGAGGAAATTAATGAAGGAATGAGTAATGGATTCGTATTCTCAGAGCAAACATGGCACGTACAGTCAGTAACTAATGTTTTGGTCAGCAAGATCCCGTGAACCAGTAAGAAATTCCGAACCATTTGCCAACAAAAGAACTTCAACTTGGGAGGTAAGAGAAGATTCCATAAGCATTTTCAGAAGCTTGAGTCAAATGGAAAAGGAGTAGGTGGATGGAGGCGATTAAGTTCAGTAGAGAGGAGATGGTACCCAGTCTTGACCGTATACTCTTCGAAATGAGTGTAATGCCAAAGAAGCTTATCAAGAATTAACTCTTGCGGTAATGGGATGGACAAAGTCATTTTTGAGAGAAAAATTGGAGTTCTTCTTACATCATAGTGAGAGAGGGATGAAGCTAGAGACCTTAGAAGAGAGCTTTCCACTATCATTGGAGGCTTGATTTCAACACCAAGAGCAATCAATGTCCAAGATCTTCTTCTCATGATGATTGTCTTCTCCATTTTGGTTGTTTTTCTCACTCTAACTATAGAGTAGTTGATGAAATTTTATTTATAGTGTTTGTCACTCCCATATTTGATGCATTTCCCCCTTATGTTGAAGGTACAAAGCAACCTAAAGAAGATTGGATAAAGAATTGAAGAACTCCGGAGGACTAAATGAGCTCTAAAGCTTAGTTAGTAAAGTACGTTACGGGTAAGTTAAGTATAAACTACGTACGGATATTTTACTTTGTCTCTAAAATAATGGAACGTTTAAAATTACGTGAATAGCCATAAAATATATAAAATCAATTATTTTAAAAATAAAAAAATATAAAAAAATAGATAAGTTAGCAATCTAATTCATTAAATACGAAAATAAAAGGTGTTATACGGGTTTTACACATATTTAGTACAGGAGCCATCAAATGAACGAGGGTGACAATGAAACGACTTGACCATAATAAGGATATGAAATTTTTGAAGGGATAAAATATGTACGACCATATATAGGTGTATTAAATGGAGTATTTACTAACTATGCTATAAAGAGAAGTTTAAGGAGTGTTCACGAGAAAGAAGTAGTCCATTGAAGTCAACTAGAAGTTGCTAGTATTTCAAGACAAGCCCATAGGGGAAATAATCAGCCATTCCGAAGAAAGAAAAAGCAGTGGCCCAAATAACGGGACCAACCGCTGTTACCTAAAGTTGCAGTCGAAATCGTTAGTAATTGAAGTCCATGGATCAAGAAGCCCAATCCACGAAGAACTAGAGCAGCGGGGTCAACAAAAGCCATACCCGCCATCCCTTTTTTTGTTGACAAAGATTCATATATCTAGTGGGTTTAGGAGACTCTTTCCTAGCCAATTTAGGTTGTTTTAGGTTGGATTCTCCGCTATAAATAGAGGACATGACTCCATTGCAAGAGTAAGGTTGCACAAACACACAAATCTTTGTAACACTCTGCAACAATGCTTAGTCTAGTCGAAGTAGAGGAGGTCTGCAGTTAATGACATGATGTCATCATCAATGGTGGTATCTTCATTATCCTCTATATAGCTAGTAGAAATTGATTGTATTAGGATGTGATGCTATGATTTCATTGCATACTTGTGTTTGTCTATGAATTTTGATGCATGTGATGATCATTGATGGTTGCTTGTATTTGATGCTTATTATGGTCATTGATGGTTGATTGTATTTGATGCTTATTGTCAAACCGGGGTGCTCAATTAGTATGATATTGTCCGCTTTGGGCCAAGCCCGCACGGTTTTACTCTTGGGTGTCCTCCCCAAAAGGCCTCGTACTAATTGGGCTAGGTGGACTCTAATATACAAGGGTCCCTTCCCTTGTATTACCGATGTGGTACTTGGATTGTCCCATAACAATCCTCCCCTCAAGACAAGGACCACGAACTTCGTGTCCTCACCTCAGCGATTATCTTGATCTTCCAGATACCTTGTATCGATGGGCTTCTCGATACAAGGATTTTCCCAGACGCGGAACTCTCTTTGATCCGCCAAACAGACGTGGATCTCTCTACCAGACAAACGCGGACCTACCTCGATCCGCCAGAGCCCAAACGTGGATCTCTCGTGGATTCACCAAACAGGACGCAGATCGCAAATCCCGAGGTCACCGAATGAGGACCCACCAAACTGACGTCCACCGCCCCGCACCGAACCAGGCTCTGATACCACTTGTCAAACCGGGGTGCTCAATTAGTACGATATTGTCCGCTTTGGGCCAAGCCCGCACGGTTTTACTCTTGGGTGTCCTCCCCAAAAGGCCTCGTACTAATTGGGCTAGGTGGACTCTAATATACAAGGGTCCCTTCCCTTGTATTACCGATGTGGTACTTGGATTGTCCCATAACACTTATGATGGTTATTGATGTTTCCATAGTATGAATGCTCTTAACAGTATTAATGCTTATGATTATATTATATGCTACTATATGCATTGTGCTTAGTATTGTCTAGATTGTCAAGAACTTACCTTCTAGTGATACCACATTGATGTTTTTTTCTTAAATGGAAGGAAATGAGAGAAAATTACCTTCTACGGATACCCCATTAACTAACATAAAAAGGACATAGAATGGGAGATTGATTCGTCAGAGGGAAGGAAATGAGAGAAAATTGGACTAATAGTTAATTGGAGCTTTTTTCTTAAATATCGTTTGTTAAAAAAAAATCCAAAATATCGTAGTTGAAAAAATATTTTCCAATATACTATCGTAACAAAATAATTCGGGCTCGAACGCGACAATTGGGTTTTGTAATGGACAAAAAAACCAACAGAATTTTGCCCGCCTTAAAGATGAATCGGGGATAAAAATATCAATTGGGGCGCGCACGCCCCAATTATTTTTCTTTCGCCCTGATACTATAAACCCTTCCTCACCATAAAAATTGCATGAAAACCCCTCCCCCACTGGATTGTGAAATATTTATTAAATATAATTTATTAGTTAGTTATTTATTAGTTAGTTACATGATGATTCATATAGCCTTTGGTTCGTCCATATAAGACTTGAGGTACGTCTATATTAAGCAAGTATTACGAGGTTTGTGAAATATACCTTCACATTGTTGGATTGTATACTGTTAACGAGCTTGCACCGCTCATGATGATTATGACTTGATCACGATAGTAGTGGAGCATTGACAATCAGAGACCTCGACCTTTCACCTTCCTTGTTGCAAGTGTACTATTACATTGGAGGATGTTACAGTTCTTATAGGACTATGATGGAATGAGTTATGCATGTATCCACTTGGATAGCTTTTCCACATTTTATGGGTGCCCTGGACACCCCTAAAAGAGTATGGAAACGCCACTAGCTATGGCTACTGGCTAGTACCCAGAATTGGAGGATTATATTTCAATAATATACTCAAAACTTTGTTTGTGAGACATTTTATGTCGTATGAGAACTATTTATATGAATTTTGAAATGCTTTTGGTTCATTAATGTTTATCATCATAATAATAAAAAAAAGTTTCATAAGCTTGTAACTTAGTGGATAGAGTTTACCTTTCATGGTTTGTGAAACATGTACAATTCATATAATACTCATATCTAACAAATTATATTGATAATGGTGTCCGATCAATTGACAAGGTCATGGCGGATGAATCTTCTACAAGTTACAAGGGCAATCGAATTTTTCCACTCAGCATTGATATACTTTTCGAGAGGACCTATTTACGCCATCTCTTTGCCAAGCCAAGAACACACCATCATCAATCTCTCTGGGTGGATGTGATGGTCGTCAATCCATGATTTCTTATATGGTTTGGTACAAAGATAAGAAAGAAGGAAAGAAGAAGAGGTCTCGTCGATGGAGCCTCAATTCTCATCAGGTACATGAGCCATCATCATCAGTTGCCACATCAAATGCTCGAGACTAGCGCCTTCACATCATCGATGAGAACCTCAACTTCAAATTTGTTTGGGGGTGGGCCGAGACATAAGAGCCCCCTTCCGGATCATAATCTGAAAGAAGCACTTGTTAGGAGGCAACCCAACCCATTGGTTTAGATTTCTTTTCTCTTCAATAACTCAACCTTTGGGAGTTTGTGGTGTTTTGGTTGTTGAGTTGCTCTCCCGAATCTTGCCCATCCTCATGTTTCATCCACCATCTTTCATACCTAATCCTATAACTT